TGATGCGGTAGTAAATATGCTGATGAAATGGCAGGTGCTGGCAAGAGCGCTTAACATGACAAGACCACTTTCATAATACAGGCCATTCGAGCATCCATTGTCGCAACTGCGAGCCTCTGTTTGAAAGTGCTGAAATTTCGGCGAGGCCACCCGCAGCTTTAACAAACGAAATAAAAGAGCACCGACCAAGATGAAAAGGGTTAAAATGTTGAAAATTTGACGTTTCGGCTATCGTACGGTAGCCTTGTTCAGAGTAAAATGGCATGTTACCATGGGCCTCAGCTCGCAGCTCCCGCCGACTAGAGCGCGCGTTAGTTTCACTTCGATCGAGCTGACACCTAGTGAAGCAATGATGAAAGTTTTTCCAAGAGAGCTACTCACGCGGTGTCCGATCCACGGACATGTCCAATCAGATTTCCCCCGATTGGCTAGAGCGCGCCGCGTGTTTCCGCGGTCATTATTCAGCAACGTCATTTTGACGCCACGCACTTTTCACAACTCTCGACACAAATTAGAATGGCGGAATGCGTTTCGCCACATGGAATGCTGCCCCCAGAGATTCGCTTTTGGACGCGCACCTCGGAAGCCGTGCATAGACTTGTCGCGTTAAACGTAATTCAAAGGTTAACTTCAATTCAAAGGTTAGCTTAAACGTAATTCAAAGGTTAATTCAGGGGCACGCGCCTGACGCCCCTGAAACAGAGAAACATACTTACGTAAAGAGTGGACACTCTCGTAGGGCTTTGCGGCCCAGGTACTGCACTGCTTTCAGCGCCACGAGTGGTTGGTCAGACCTGATAATGTCTTAAACATAAATAAAATAAAACTTCTTTCTTTCTGACGATGGGATTTGAACCCGCACCCTCATGCTCCGAAAGCGAGTATCTTTTCCACTAGGCTACACACCCATGCTTCCGCGATGGGAATATATGAACAGCACATCTAAACCACATGGATGTGCCTCTTTGTGGAAAACAAATGCAGGGAGACAACACTTTCTAGTAATACTTTACTGTTTTCTGTTGTAAGACATTAAAAGTTCTCAGCGGGACATGATGTTGAGCGGATATGGGGGAAAATTGCACAAGTTAACTAAATTTATTCTTTGCAAAAAATGATGCCAAACTTGGGTATTCATTGTACCCTTGAGAAGGCTCTTACATGTGTTAATAGAGGAAAAGAAACGATGATCGGTACGCCACTTAGCGGTTGGTCAGACCCTTCCTTGCTGGGCCGCAAAAAAGCTCCAGTCGCCACTCTTTACATAGTATATTTCTCTATGCTTGAAAGGTCTGTACGCATTCCCTGCATCACTTGAAACGCCTCACCAAATGCATACGCACGATCAGACTTGTACAGTTTGTTGAAGAGTTCCATTACTCTACATTTCATCCACTTCGTTTCCTTTTACGCTGGGAATGTGCTGCCAGGTTAGGTTAGCCGACGTGGTCAAGCGCACTATGACGTCATGAATCACTTTTTTTTTTGCGTTACTGAAAGTGCTTCGGCGAATCGGACATTTCCAAGGATCGGACACCGCGAGAATAGCTCTCCGGTAGTCAGCCGAAGAAAAAAATTAAGTGACTGTCATTGTCTCGCGACTACGCCACGTGACCACAACAACTAAAGGGGCTGCACACAACGATTGATGCGTCATCGCTCACCGATATATTGGCAAGGAGCCACACGATTTCTTTTTCTTCAGAAACCGCTGGGTAGACGTTTCCAACGGTAGCGTAGAATAAGAAATTCAAACCCGTAAAAAAAGACAATATAGGGCTTAAGGCAATGCAGATGGCAGAGGAATTCGGAACTCAATTCACGAAATATGATTGTGATCTGTGTTCACTAAACACAGATGAAAGAATGCCGGCATCCCACAGAAAACCATGCGGTGAAAAAGGTCGCACTGCACGATCTTCGTTATCTTAGAAGCGTCGCACAGGCGCACACACGACATAGGCATGTACAAGAAAGGCCGGATGAAGCGCAGCAGGGACCAGAGTGTCGCCTTTTGGAACCAAGATTACCCCCCCCCCCCGCAAGGCAGCAAGACGTAGACAATAACAAAAGACGGGCTTTGAGAACGATCATGACAGTAAGGTAGGAATGTAGGTACAGGTGGATGAGGGGGGGGGGGGGCGAGAGGAAAAAAAAGGACAACGGAGCTCTCGGTGGGAGATACGCCGCGCAATTAGAGGCTTTGCCAATGAGTTTTGCGCACAAACCGGCTCGACCTGCTGTCTCAGTACTGAAAATGCTGGAGGCGCCGATGCAGCGACAGTTGCCAACTAGAGACGGCAAGGTGACCCGGTTGTTGAACCGCCTCCACAACCGCGTGTTCCCGCGCACTCCAAGAGGCTCCCGCACGCAAGACGAATGCTGTGCACGGGGCACGCAGTGTGCTAGAAATGCGCGCCATCACATTTGATCCCGTGCGCGATGAGTGAAGAGAAGCAGCAGTCGGAGGGAGTCGCGCGTCGAGTCGCAACGTGAGCACATTCGTGTGGAAACATAGCGCCGTACTGCACGAAACGAAGCTATCGCAGCCAGCTAGTGCATCGCTGTTTGGATGTTAGTTTTTTTTCCTTTTTTTTGCGCATTACGAAGCGACGCACACCGTGGCCCATCACACTCAAAGCTGGCGTACACGGTTATCTAGACAGCGATCGAGAAAGACGCCGTCGTTCACGAGACGCGCCTAGCAACTCGAAGCAAAACTGGAACCAAAAGCGTCCACGAATGGCGAACACGTGGTCAGGATTCCTCAAAACGGGTGCGCTTCCGCCGTGCTAGCCGAGGGTCCCGACAGTGGGCTGTGCACACGCGAACGAGCACCGCGTCCTTGAATGCGACTGCACAACCGCTGTTGGCGGCCGTCCAGAACCAGATTCTTCTTCCCACCACTGAGGAAGGCAGGCAGCCCCGTTCCACCCGGGGCAAACCTTTTCGCGCCGCGGCGAACTTTCGCTGCTGCCGTGTGGTCAGCAAGTGATAGGCGGAAGTCGGCGCGCGCCACCGCATCGCTCGAGGCCTCTTGGCGCCGCACGCTCTTCTCGCTATCTCTCGGTTGCCGGCCACCATCTACTGCACTACACAGTGCGACGAGGAAAGCACGATCGCAGACCGAGATTGCTGAGCGAGACGAGATTTTGACACAGAAAGCACGACCACTTTGGGCGAAAACAGAAATAAGAGGCACGGAAAACACCGTGGCCGCGCGATTCGGAGACTGCGTTGCGCAGAACAAAATATAAATATATCAGCACTGCGATCACATCACTCATGTAACAGTTGTATCGGTTCGCCGCTTCCGAGGTTTAGGGTCAGATTTAATAAACGCGCGCTTTCGAGCGACAACTAACCGAACGTTTACCTTACAGTTGCTGCTCCTACTTGAATAAAAAAAAGCAGGAAAGAGACCAGCGGCCATTAGAAACGTATCCACACGGCAGATTGATACTAAAATTCATGCATGATGTAACTAACTGCTCAGAGAAGCTGTGCTGCGTGTCGGTGCAATAAAAATTACGATCCCCCCTCCGACGGTGCCTTCCCATAAACCCTTTATGGCGTCGACAATTTACGATACAAGAAGATACAAACGGTTGGTACACTGCTTATAAGCCTCTAGCATGGAGTAGTACAATAAAAACGCAAAGCGACGGGCAGGTGCCACCACCACGTCGTGTTAGCAAAGCGTTGGAAACACTTGCCTTTTTGAGCATCGCGTTGCATTTTCTGCGCAGCGTGATAAACGCTACGGTCCTCAAAATTACTTTTGTATGCCTACTCTAGCATAAAGACATATACAAAATGTTGACGCGTTGTTATGGTGCCTCACATATGTGCAATAATTGCTCTTATTAGCAATCACGCAAGCATGAACGCTGAAGCTTGGAACAACATTGGCGGGCGCTGCCGATGGGGTAAACCGCTAGGGGTATTGTTACGGCGGACAAACAGAAAAACGTACAGGTCGACCAAAATTTTTGCGCCGAAGTACCCCAAGAAAGACTATAGTCTTTAAAAAAATAACCCAGCCGCGAACGAAAGACTGTGCAAGCTGTATGTCAATCAAGACCACTGAAACAACGTTCTCCTCAGAGGTTTTTTTTATTTTTTACTTCATTGCTATCACTATTGAGCAAGGTTAAAACCGCGGATTATTTCAGAACTAGTGCAGCAGCATCAAAAGCACTTGCTTTCGTAAAAGACGCCATAAACTGCAAATTATCAGCAGCGAGAGAGCTTCCCAGAAAACTTAATACGCGTGCGCACTGGATTTGACAGGCAGGAGCGAGCGACGGTGTTTTTTCCAAGGTCACAATGCGGAGAAGCGCAACTTGCATCGGAAGGACCACCGAAAACAGCCTCCTGTATTGTGTAGTGACTCATTGAGGATGTGGCATGGTAAGCGTACGCTCAAACATTTAAAACTTAACCCGATGGAAATATTGACAGCTATGACACCTACACACGGCTGTCACCGATATCAGCTTCCCGCACAGCTGCCAAATGACGCTACATATTTGACGTTAACCGATGACCTCAGAGAAGTCATGCTTAAGCCGACGAACGGAATTATAAGCTATGCGAGCGGAAGAAAACCGAAGCACCATAGCAACCGACCGTATGACACGGCCGTGTTTACTGCCGCACAGAAATTTATGACGCGCAAGACGGTACCGCGAGCTTTTAGTGGAAGCGAATGCATTAATAAAGATATGTATACGTGCAGCTAACTTCTGGTCCTCCTAACCTTTGCTTATCTATATTAATATTTAAGCTGGCTACTGAGGCAGTAATCCCAAGTGCGGGTGCTTGAATCCTCGATTTTCGCTAACCATCTCCCGTGCTCTAGGAGAGCCCGAGCAGACGATTTTTCCGAAGCGCCGCGCATTACGCTTTCTGTCGCTGCTTGGCGGACGCGTCGAGACTGCCAAATCGAGCGAGGGGAAATCGCCACACGAAGAGGTGTTGCAGCGGGGTGCTCTTACCTGTCATGACTGGCGAGCTGGTCTTGAAGCCGCATGCAGAAGTCGCAGGTAGAACCGCGCGCTGCTGCGTTCGGAGCAGAGCGGCAACAGCGCGGCCCGATTTTTTCAGTGCTGACGACGCCATTCTTTAGTGCAAAAATAAATTTAGAAATTCAACTCGTTCGCCAGATTACCGGACGGAAATCCGTCAATGCGGAAAACAAAATGCGCTTTGGGACAAGGTGCCCGTCTAGATCACGACTGGCGCATAGGAATAGAGGGTCGAGGTTCCCGACGGGGGCAAGGTCCTAAAATGCTACGGCCGAGGGAGCAGCGGCAGCACCAGCGAACCGACGGGAGCGGCGGAGAGTCACAAGTGCGCGCGAGCCGCGCGCTCCGAACTATTTAAGTGCGCGGAGGAGTAGGGGCGCCGTTCGCCAGCAGAGGGCAGTAAGTGTTCTGTGCAGACCTACTTCTTACACCGTGGTGCAGACTAACAACGAAGGCGAGCGGCAGCGGCCGGAGCAGGGCCGCAGTCGTCGCCTTTCTCTGTATACACGGTCGTCGCGCCTTAAGCAGCTGTCTCGTCTCCCCCAGTCCTAAGCGTGCCGCGATAAACTTCCTTTACTGCACGGCGACCGGCTGAGAGCACCGTTGGCCACTCCAGCAGGCCACTTGTGACTCACTTGAACAACCACACTTTCTAATGGAAGTGAAATGCGCTAGGTCCCCATGGAACACACAGCGAAAGCTCGAAGAGCGGCCTCTCTAGAGCCCTACGAAAACTCGTGGCAGCTAATACAAGTGTACATCTTTAAAAGCCACAACGCCATAAATCATCGTAATTTTTAAGCCGTGGGGAAACAACCACTAACCCATTATTCGTCATTCTGCGGATAAGCTTGATATTCGCTTCATATCCGTAAAGCATTACGTGTTACTTTGTTTGTGCTCAATGGGGTGGAGCTTTATTTATAGTCCTGAGAGACATGACCAGCGTGCAGTGGTCTTGATGATAAAGAATTATGGCTGAGACCTTCATAATGGTTTGGCAGCATTCAACAACGCATTTCTGGCACAAATGACATCGTATGACGCCCCGTTGTTATTTTACTCTTCTGCCATGCTACGTTACATATGGTAATGCGATTCCTTGCCCTGCATGATGCCTGTATATGGTCGTTTTGTGGACTAGTTTCAAGCAGCGTCTTGACTTTGTGGTAGAATACTATAATGTCACAGAGACGGCCCGGGGTTCAAACCTTATCTGACCAAACCGCTTCTTTTTTTTTCTACAATAGTCGAGTGGGAGGCGACCCTGTCCAGCTCTGACCAAGCGCCGTAACAAGCCCTGGTCAATCGTGCCCGGATAGTGGCAAAGCCAATTGTCTTCCGGACTATGAGGTACATCCACTGGAGGTTCAAGTTATTCGAAATTAGCTATCTCTCCCTTCAATTTTTTTTTTATTTCATGCGATAGAGGTTATGTACTCTGGTGGTGTTGTACAACTACGGCACAAGAACCACTTGTAGCTGTCATCTCATAAAAGCTTTCGCAGTAAAAAGATACGTCAATTAGGCTGCGTGTCTCGTGTAAGTAGTGTTAGCGGCTGGAACGACAGGAGTCAAGTTTCAAATTGCATAGCTCTCAATTGTAACCAGAAACTTTTGGTAAAGCACATGGTTAAGAGAGTTAGGAGCTAACTTATGGGGATGCCCTAACCCAAGTTCTAAAAGTTACTTGTATGCAGTATAGCGGCATTGTCCAAAAGTGCATGAAAAATACGCTTCCCACACCCAGTTTGCATACCACGTTCTCGCGAGCAGCTTTTTATTTATTTATTTATTTATTTCGAGAGAGAGAAATGAGAAAAAGGAAGGCAGGGAGGTTAACCAGATGCTAACATCCGGCATGCTACCCTGCACTGGGGTTGGGGAATAGGTTGTTGAAAAAGAGAGAGGTAAAAAAATAAATAATAGCAAAATCAATCCACATTCCGACAGGGCCGTATGCATATATAGTTCGCAGGAAGCTCAGTAGCACTTGCACGGCCTTCTTTTGTGATGATGAGTCTAGACGATGGCGCAGTATACTTTCCTCTGACAGCGTCTAGTCATCTAACTTGTTGAGTGTATTAGAAGTATATTGTATTTTTATGTTATATTCCGGGCAGTCGCACAGGACTTGCCGAATTGTCTCTTCATTACCAAAGTTTGCACAGGCGGCGGTGTCGGCCATCCCTATGCGGAACGCGTACGCACGGGTAAACGCGACGCCCAACCATAGCCTGCACAGAACAGTTTAGCGTCACCTCGTCGTAGTTTTTTTTTTTTTTTTTTTTGGAAGCCGCAAATTTGACTTAGGATCAAGGGAGCGTACTCATGCATGCGTAAAAAGAGGCTCATTCTAAAGTGACATGCATGGAGCATTCATTGGTGGGCAAGCATGTGGCGTAAAAGAGAGGAGTGTGTTTTACGTGAAAAGTAACATCATTCAATGTTACATAAAGCAGCTTGATAAGATGAATAATTATGGTTGCAGGATCTGATGTGGTGCAATAATTTGTTTTTTACGTTCAGTTTTAATAACGATTGAATGCATCACGAATGAATTGCACTGACGTCAGATTGAAGTAACCAGGAAGCCCCCACGGGTTAGCTATTTGATAGTAAATAACGCAGTCATGAGCTTAAAGCCGGATGTTAGACGTTAAATTGCCACGTACATCATTAATATGAATAAAAAACAGCAAAGACCCAACTATACTAAGCACTGCATGTGGTTAACTAGATGTTGCGGAACAGGTTGGCGAAATAGAGTTTTGGTAATTTTCAGACTTAAAGTTCGATTGTGGAGAAAACGCTGAGTCAAGGCAAGCGAATAGGCGTTAGTGTTATGTCTTCTTAATATAAAAAGCAGATGGCGGCAAAAGTGTTTGCACTGTGACATAAATTTTTCAAAAAAAAAAAAAAAACTGATATGATGCCGTTAATGTAGGAGCCTCGGTCTAGAGTCGAGAACAGGTCTTCAGTAAGCATAACTATACAGTTGCGTTTCACATGACAAGTGTTTTCAGAAACAATGCTGACATTTACTTAAAAAAAGTTGTTCGAGTCAAGAAAAGGTACGATGTAAGAGCAAATTTTGAGCTCAGAAGAAGCTTACTGGAATTAATAAAATTGTCCTGTAATTGATAGTGCATGAAGATGTTTGTTTTGGAATATATGCATTCTTTCTCGCATTCCAGTCATTGGGCAGCAGCCCACCATTTTAAAAGCTGCTTGAAAATGTTGGACAAAATGACCGGTGAGTTAGCTACAGACACTTAAAAAACCTCAGGGGTTATCCCCTGAGTACCAAGTAAAGATGTATTCACGCTGTATATTAGAGGTCGATGTAAACGAGTCAATGAGTACAGAATTAATCCATCGTGCACTGAGGGTGTATAATGTTTCAAAAAATACTGAGCAATTAAAAACGAGTGTTTGAATATACTATATATGCATAGCAACACAGCTTATATGAGATGGTGCAACGCTTCCTGTTTCGTCAGGTAGTTGGATGTCCTCTTTGGGTTTGTCACCCGCCACGGTGGTCTAGTGTTTATGGTACTTGACCGCTGACCCGCAGGTCGGGCGGGATCCAATGCCGGCCTCGGTGGTCACATTTTCGATGGACGCGAACGTGTTTAAGGCACGTGTACTTTGACTTAGGTGCACGTTAAAGAGCCCCAGGTGGTAGAAGTCTCCGGAGCCATTCACAACAGCGTCTCTCACAAAGGTGTTGTGATTTTGCGACGTTAAGCCCGAGCAATTATTGCTTTGGGTTTGCTGCTAACCACTTACAAAAGTTTTACCTCTAGATTTTAATTTGTTCGATCTGCGTGCATGTATACTTGCTTCTGATTTCCTTTATTCCATTTCCACGGTACAGGCCAGCGTTATACACACGAAACGTTATCGTAGCGATGACACTGCCGCGTCAGCATCTCAATGAAATTGTGCATCTACGTGCATTGCTGCTTCACATAGTCTCGCTAAGCTTCGACAAAACAAAGTACACAGTTCTTATGGACAGGAAATTGTATGAGTGCACAATAACGTTTTTTTCTGTTCTGTGTAAGTTATCTTGGAACATGATGCTCCAATACAATTCATGGCTTCTGAGCTTGATTCTTTGTAATTCTTTTCGCAATGCGTCACCTGCTTGGGCGTCGCCACACCAAGCTTTGGCGACGCCAGTGTTATCACCGGCATTCGAGGCTTGATGCTGCGCATTTTAAGTGTGTCAAAGAAAATGTAACGTCGCATGGGGACGAATAGTAGTAAGTAGGAACTGTTGCCAATTCACACGCTTTGAATATAGCGTAGAAGAGAACCTTCAATCGCTCAAGTTCAGACAGTAGGTTGCACATACATTGAGTCCAAAACAGTGATCAGGCGTGCGGGGCAAGTGTAATTGATTGATATGTGGGGTTTAACGTCCCAAAACCACCATATGATTATGAGAGACGCCGTAGTGGAGGGCTCCGGAAATTTCGACCACCTGGGGTTCTTTAACGTGCACCCAAATCTGAGCACACGGGCCTACAACATTTCCGCCTCCATCGGAAATGCAGCCGCCGCAGCCGGGATCCGAACCCGTGACCTGCGGGTCAGCAGCCGAGTACCTTAGCCACTAGACCACCGCGGCGGGGCAAGTGTAAGATCACTCAAAAGGTTGTACGCATTTAAACGACTTTATTATTGCCTCTAGATTTTGATGTACATTCAACAAATTACAAGGAGCTGCTGACACCGTTTGAGGGATGCTTGCGTGATAAAATAATGCTTTGCGCCTGCCCTATTGATCCATCTTTGTACGGCGCAACGTCAATGCAAGTTAAGGAATACCAGATGGTCTAAATTTTCGGAGCCCTCCACTACGGCGTCTCTTAAAATCATATCGTGGTCGTGGTAAGCTAATGAAAGTATAGAGGGAAGTTAACCAGATCACATCTCCGGCAGGCATGTCACGTGGTATTTTTCATATGTCAGTGTTCATCTGCATTGTTTTTTCCTTTTGCCCAAAGTTTGCAGTCAACAGTCCACCAACATGAAGTCGATTTTCAATGGTTTGGTTCTATTATCTCTCTGTAAACAGTGGAAAAAAATGTGGTCAAACCTTTTGACTTGATTGGCCGTGATGGCATATTGCCAATTATGGGCTCACTGTATTTCGTGCAGACGCGGTGTTTCGTACGCCGTAAGAGACGATTGCGACAAATCTACCTCATTTGTGATCCTATGGCAGAGTCAACGATGGCACAATTGGGATTGATCATTGATTGATATGTGAGGTTTAACGTCCCAAAGCCACCGTGTGATTATAAAAGACGCCGCAGTGGATGGCT